AAAATTAGAGGGGTTTTAAAGGTAAAACTGTACTTCCAGGGCCTAGATTTTTTTGTAGAAAGAGTCTCTATTAACGAATTTTTCTTTCTGGCGCTTCGCCGGCCGCTCCCGCGGCACGCTCGCTTCGCTCGCTCGGCTCGCGCGTTAAGGTCACAACACTAACCTAACCTAACCTAGTGTGAAGTATCACCACACAAGCGGCTCATTAGAGTCCAAAACTCGCACTACACTCGACTCTTCAGGCGAAGGGACAGCAGAACTCGAGGCCGAAGGCTTTGAGGATGCCATGGTAGTCAGACGATGTTAATATCAACAGGAGTACGAAAAAGCTCTCAATTGTGACGAACACAAACACTGACTGACAGATCTCATTAATGGCGGTAAATTGTCACATTTTGACAATAGCACCAACTTAATAAACTTATATTTACCATAGACAACGAGAAACATGTTATTTTTGCATAAAAAAATGGCAGCACTGATCAAAATTTCTGTCAAAATTGACTCATAACCTACAAAAACATTAATTTTCAATAATTTTTTTCTCGAGTTCTATTCGTTTCCGCCTTAAAAGATTTCGTGTACGTGTTTATAATAGTTAATACTTTGCGTGACAAAAATTTCAGCTTGCAACTCAATTACATATAATGGAAAGCTGAGCCCCAGAAGCAGAAGCTGAGTGATATTTCTTGTCATGTATTTCTTCTATTGTTATGGACCAGTAGTTCCTTTGGTATGAACATTTTTGTTAATCATTTATAAAATAATCACGAAATGCCTAAACCTCTTCAGATAATTAATTGTTTACGGGTACATATAAAGTTTTATTTCAAAACAAAGATTAGTGAGTGAGCTGTCAGACTTGACATTTGTCAAATTGTCCTTTTTTTTTATATAGCACTGACTCTCTGTTATTTTGGTAATGTATTACGTTTCGTTCTACTGTAATGCCTCAGGTCAGGTTGTTATCGATTTGTTCGTGTTTTTGTAAGTAATTACTTGCGATCGTCTTTGATTTTTTATAAATCCATGTTTAGTTTATAATTAAGTACTAAATTCCAATCACTGGTTTCGGACTCATCCGTTCAACTTAGGCACGTGGTGGAGTTTTTTTTTTTATTTTAGATTTATTTTTAATTTTAGAATTGTAATTTTATATATATACTTATATTTTTATATATATACTTACATTATTTTATAGAAACAATGATACTTAATGATACATTTTTTTCATGTTCGTCTGACGAGTATAATAGTGCTGAAAGTAATGATTCATTTGTCTCTGATTCTGAACCTTTGGAACTTAAACTGTCAGAGATGGTTGGTAAATCGTCGAAGTGTTTTACTGTAGTGCACATCAACGCGCAAAGCATTCTAGCCCATCACACAGACCTTCTCACTGCTTTTAACAACGGCGTAGTCGACTGCATTCTTGTTTCTGAAACTTGGTTGAAACCCAGTCTTCCTTCTTCATGTTGCTCTGTTCCTGGCTACAATCTCTATCGCAATGATCGTACTGGAATGGGTGGCGGTGGCGTAGGTATCTTTCTGCGTAGCCATATCCCTGCCCAAGTGGTCACTTGCTCTCCGTCACAATATACGGCATCTCTAGAATACATATTTTTGGAAATCACCCTTCACCACAAGAAGATACTTCTTGGAGCTCTATATTGCCCTAGTGATAAAATTGATTATTTTAAAAATCTCGAAAGTGCCCTTTCAGACATAATTGTTACATATGACCACATTATTCTAATGGGGGACTTTAACACCTGTCTCGTTAAAAATGACACCAGAGCACATAAGCTTGTTAATATTCTTTCTTCTCTCAATCTTCATATACTTCCGTCTTCTCCCACGCACTTTCTTCCAAATTGCAGACCCTCTCTTCTGGACCTTATTATTGTATCTCACCCTGACCTAGTGGGTACTCATGGCCAAATGTGTGCTCCTTTCTCCCATCATGATCTTATTTTTCTGTCACATAAAGTGCGCCCTCCCAAGAAAAAACCTAAAGTTAGTCTTCTGCGCAACTTCCAACATATGGTTCTCGATCGCTTGAGGGCTGATGTGAGAGGAATAGATTGGTCTCCGGTATTAAACTCGAATAACATTGACGATATGGTTGAATACTTCACCACTGTGCTTTTAAAACTATTTGACATTCACGCACCAGCACGTCCAGTAAAAATTAAACACTTGCCTGCTCCTTGGCTCACACCCGCAATCAGGAAGGTGATGGGTAAGCGCGACAAAGCCAAAAGCTGTCTAAAAAAATCACCTACCTCTGAGAACCTCCAGGCATATAAGAAACTGCGGAACCTTTGCAACAGGATGTGCCGGGACGCCAAACGTAAATATGTGCACTCACAGGTTGAAAAGTTAGACCAAAAACACATCTGGAGTTTTTTTAAGGTCCTTGGGTGTGGGAAAGACTGTTGACTCAAATTCAGTACCTGTGGATATCAACTCCCTTAATACGCACTTCACAACACCTCCTCTCTGTCTGAACTCATCATCTAAAGCAGACACTCTCTCTTCTCTGACCAGACCCAGTACCCATAACTTTACAGCTTTTTCTTTTAATACAGTTTCTGAGGCAGACGTTGAGAAGTATGTCCGGTCTATCTCTACTAAAGCCATCGGCAGTGATGGTCTCAGCCTTGACATGCTGCTTCCTATACTGGATGACATTGTGCCTATAATTACATATATTATTAATTTCTCACTTCAGCACAATGTTTTTCCCACATCTTGGAAGAAAGCCAATGTCATACCCATTCCCAAGGTTTCAAATCCATCTTCTCTGTCTCAGTATCGTCCCATCTCTATTCTTCCAATCCTATCCAAAGTCCTTGAGTCCATTGTTCATAATCAGATTTATTCTTTTGTCTCATCTAATTCTTTACTTTGTCCCCAGCAATCTGGCTTCCGTCCTTCACATAGCACTGTCGGAGCACTGCTTGATGTCACTGAGGACATTCGACATGCAATGGATAATACCAAGCTTACGGCTTTAATTCTGCTTGACTTCAGCAGTGCTTTCAACTGTGTCGACTTTGACCTTCTTTTGGCCACTCTTCAGTCTGCTAATGTTTCTCCTCCTGTTGTAGAATGGTTTCGGAGTTACCTTTTTGACCGTTTCCAACGAGTGGTCTATAATGACTCGTGCTCTGACTGGGTACGTGTATTGGCAGGTGTACCGCAAGGTGGAGTTCTCTCTCCTTTACTCTTCTCCTTCTTCATTAATAAGATCGCTTCTATTATCTCTTCTCCTTTTCACTTGTATGCTGATGATCTTCAGATCTACCAACACTTTCCAACAGGTGAAGTTTGCGATGCTATTGCCTTGTTAAATCGTGATCTGGTCTCCATTTTAAGCTGGGCAACTTCGTTTGGTCTGGCAATAAATCCAAGCAAATGTCAGGCTATGATTGTGGGTAACAGCCGGCTCAGGAGTAGACTGGATTGGAGTATTGTTCCTCCACTCCTCTACAACAATATTCCAATACCATACACCGATAAAGTTAAAAACCTTGGTTTGACTATGGACTGTAACATGGCATGGTCCCCGCATATTGGTGAAGTTAGTAAACGTATCCATTACTCTTTCCACTCTCTCAAGCGACTCCAATACTTTTTACCATTTAAAACCAAAATTATGTTAGCACAATCACTCCTTCTTCCAATTCTCGACTACGCCGATGTCTGTTATCTTGATGCAAATGAAGAGCTACTCAATAAATTAGAACGACTCCAAAATTTAGCCATACGATTTATATTTGGTCTGCGGAAGTATGATCATGTGTCAGCTTATCGCTCTCTACTTCAATGGCTCCCTATTCGTCTTCGCCGAGATTTGCATATGCTTGTCTTCTTATTTAAGATTCTCAAAGATCCTAACTCCCCAGTATACCTGCGTTCGCGATTTAAGTTTCTTCCCCCTCCTTCACGCTCTAGACGACCTTGCATTACTAAGACCCTTGAGCTTCCTAAAAGTAATACAATTACCTATTTAAATTCCTTTTCTTTTAGGGCTGCACAGCTGTGGAATAAACTTCCGTCCAATATTCAGGAATCTCCGACCATCTTCTCGTTTAAGTCTAAAGTCAAAGATCATTTTCTCAAACAGAAATCTCAAACTTAATGAATCATTCTCACGAAGTATCTTGTTTCTTATCAGTATTTATTTATCAGGCTTATATGTATGTTATGTATATTTAGATAGGTATTGTATTTATCTATGTATATTTATGCAAGTTTATTTATGTAGGTATATGTATTGTATAATGTGTATAGTGTATATATATATATATATATACAACTATTATTTATTAAGTCTATTTCCTATAACAGTAGTAATAAATTATTTTTAGTTTAATTTTTATTGCACTTTCTGTTTCCCGCTAAGTTTTGAATCTCCGACACCACCTAGGTTGGCTGGAAGAGATCTCTTTTAGAGATAAGCCCACCTTTGCTTACTATGTATTTGACTATATGTTTTAAACTGTATGATGCAATAAAGAGTATAATAAATAAAGAGTATAATAAATAAATAACGAATTTTTAATTTATATTAAAACGTCAAAAACATGTAAATTGAAAAAGCTCAAAAAATGGGAACAACTTGTATTAGGTGAAGCATACCAGCATACATGTATCGAGTGCTGCGTTGAGTTACTCGACCGTTACAATAACGAGAGGATTTTTATTATTATAGTTACTGTGACGTTGGTTGTTTTAAACAGGAAATCAATCAGTCAGGAATGCGTCGTCGGAATAATTCCTGCAAAGGATGCGAAACGTCAATGAATAAATAGAATCAGTGCATCTGATACGTTGAAACTTGTTTTATCTAATGAGTGATGTGCGTGAAAATCTAAGAAACAAATAAATTAATGCTTGTTTGACACTTTTCTTATCGGTGTTACTGACGTGTATCTACAGTTAGATTAGTTATCTGCGTAAACAGGTGTGGGAATGACCGTATGTTGTTACAGAGAGTGTGCCCATGGTGTCTCGCAACCTGCCGGCGTCGTTCTTCAACGCGGCGGCGGCGGCGGGCGTGGCGGCGCCGGGCGGGGCGTGCGCCGGAGTCGACCTGTACGACTACGACCCGTGGCACCAGCACTACGGCGGGTGAGTTCAATGTTGATGCAGTGTCGACATCACCTTCATGTTGATACACAGCAATATCTCAAGAATTTCGTCGTTTTTTACGCCTTGCAGGTCTTGAGGCACGAGAGACGTGCTGGGATTGAAAATCCCAGTAGATTTTTTTCCTAGTTATATTTTCTTAAGTAGGACAATTGTTTATAGATCGAGTGATCGTATGTGAAGTCAGTTGAGTAGAGTAATAGTGTGGTTGCATTTTACCCGTTAAGCTGCAATCTCTCTCTACTACCGTTGAGACGGGTTCAGGGGTTTAATCTTATTTGTATTATATGATCGTTTCGCATTATGGCCGTACAGGTACGGTCCGGCGGCGCACCGGCACGCGGCGGAGTACCACGCGGCGCACCACAACATGGCGGCGGGGTACGGCGTGGGCGGGCTGCTGCTGGGCCGCGCGCCGCTGCATCAATACAAGCCCGTCGACTGGTCGCACGCGCAGCACGCGCCGCACCTCGACCCCGCCGCCTGCTCGCCCTACTACCCGCCCGTGCCAGGTCAGTCACCTTGTGGGCCCCCTGCTGCTGGGCCGCGCGCCGCTGCATCAATACAAGCCCGTCGACTGGTCGCACGCGCAGCACGCGCCGCACCTCGACCCCGCCGCCTGCTCGCCCTACTACCCGCCCGTGCCAGGTCAGTCACCTTGTGGGCCCCCTGCTGCTGGGCCGCGCGCCGCTGCATCAATACAAGCCCGTCGACTGGTCGCACGCGCAGCACGCGCCGCACCTCGACCCCGCCGCCTGCTCGCCCTACTACCCGCCCGTGCCAGGTCAGTCACCTTGTGGGCCCCCTGCTGCTGGGCCGCGCGCCGCTGCATCAATACAAGCCCGTCGACTGGTCGCACGCGCAGCACGCGCCGCACCTCGACCCCGCCGCCTGCTCGCCCTACTACCCGCCCGTGCCAGGTCAGTCACCTTGTGGGCCCCCTGCTGCTGGGCCGCGCGCCGCTGCATCAATACAAGCCCGTCGACTGGTCGCACGCGCAGCACGCGCCGCACCTCGACCCCGCCGCCTGCTCGCCCTACTACCCGCCCGTGCCAGGTCAGTCACCTTGTGGGCCCCCTGCTGCTGGGCCGCGCGCCGCTGCATCAATACAAGCCCGTCGACTGGTCGCACGCGCAGCACGCGCCGCACCTCGACCCCGCCGCCTGCTCGCCCTACTACCCGCCCGTGCCAGGTCAGTCACCTTGTGGGCCCCCTGCTGCTGGGCCGCGCGCCGCTGCATCAATACAAGCCCGTCGACTGGTCGCACGCGCAGCACGCGCCGCACCTCGACCCCGCCGCCTGCTCGCCCTACTACCCGCCCGTGCCAGGTCAGTCACCTTGTGGGCCCCCTGCTGCTGGGCCGCGCGCCGCTGCATCAATACAAGCCCGTCGACTGGTCGCACGCGCAGCACGCGCCGCACCTCGACCCCGCCGCCTGCTCGCCCTACTACCCGCCCGTGCCAGGTCAGTCACCTTGTGGGCCCCCTGCTGCTGGGCCGCGCGCCGCTGCATCAATACAAGCCCGTCGACTGGTCGCACGCGCAGCACGCGCCGCACCTCGACCCCGCCGCCTGCTCGCCCTACTACCCGCCCGTGCCAGGTCAGTCACCTTGTGGGCCCCCTGCTGCTGGGCCGCGCGCCGCTGCATCAATACAAGCCCGTCGACTGGTCGCACGCGCAGCACGCGCCGCACCTCGACCCCGCCGCCTGCTCGCCCTACTACCCGCCCGTGCCAGGTCAGTCACCTTGTGGGCCGCGCGCCGCTGCATCAATACAAGCACGTCGACTGTAGTACACTACGCTACGCTTCACTACACTGCGGGACCCTACACTACACTACACTGCACTACACTACGCTACAAAACGCTTCGTTACGCCTCACACTAAATTTATACATATAGAGTATGGACAAGCGTTCCCTGTCCAACTGTAAAGTAAAACAAAAGTGTTAGAGATTGGGCGGCCTTTACACTGCCCATTAGACTTAGTCAATACCACGGAACAAATACATAAAGGACATGTTGTATAAGGGTTTGCTCTTAGAAATCAAGTCACTAAGAGCTGAGAGTGCGGAGAGCATTACAGGTAGGGTTACTAACTTTTTTTTCTATCAAATATAGTATTTTCGAAGCTGTTACCTCTAAAAATATAGAAGATGGCAAAAAAATGGAAAAAATATAGTATGAGGTTGAAATAATTACTTAATTTTTGAAATGAATATATTTTTGCTGCTCTATGCCTTAATCATTAAGTTTTTTTTAAGAAAGCCTTGACTGGCAAAATTCTTTTAGCAAAATGTAGTAGTTTCACCTACTATATATTTTTTTAGAAATATAGTTTGGATCCCCTAATATAATAGGATACTATATTATATAGAATGGTTGGTTCAACACCGCCATTATCAAAAATACTATAGGAGCGACTAGGGAAAATATACGCAAGCTGCTTGTAAGCATCACTAAGCGTATAATTTCTGCTCTTTTTCCCTAGTTCACTGGATATCAATAGTGTCGACGTAAGCACGAGCTTATTTATATATTCAGTTATCAACAAAGTTTTTTTGGCAACTAAAGAAATTAATGTGTAATTTACTGCAAACAAGTCAACTTGTCTCAGGCATTAGTCAGGATTTCAATAGGTACAGAAAAACCGGCCAAGTGCGAATCGGACTCGCGCACCGGGGGTTCCGTACAAACCTGCAAGGTTTACAAAGTTCGTTCATTACGACAATCGAGTCATAACTATGGTATTTTTATTGCAAAATGAAATTCATAACATTACAATGGGGAAAGATGGAGGAGCATAAATTTAAGACAAAGATCTCTTTATCGTTTAAGTAATCCTTTATTTTATATTAACACATATCATTTATCTATAATATAACTGAAACACTTATACTAGCCTTGCAGCAGACTTGCGAAAGTTCTTTTATTAAAGTTATTTATTTACTAAGTTTTTTAATCACTATTTAGAAATCTGGTTCAAAAATATTAATTAATTATTAAATTTGAACCAGACCTGTAAATGGTGACTGAAAAAGTTATGAATAGTACCACATTGAACATTGAAGTTCGAAAAAACGTTATCAATAGTTGTACAACTTCGTGTAGTGCTACTGTCCGGTGAGGTCGTCTTTGCCGTTTGAAAAATGTTGCCCTCCCCATACATAGTATAATAACTCGCGGTCATTGCTGTAACTACAATTATGTTTACAATCACAATTTTTTTGGTGGTATAACTACTTAAAATTTTAAGCTTTTCGGAATTTTTCTGTTACCTGTGCTGTAAGCTATTGCTTCTTACCAAATTTCGAGATTCTATGTCAACGGGAAGTGGTCTTTAGGTTTTAATTCCCTTGCGTGTAGTTGCGAGTTTCAAAATATGCGGTATCAATGGTTGTACTTTTGCGTTTTGCGTTTTTGCGTTGACTTAGAATTTTTTTTTTCACGGGTTAAAGGCAATTAGATCTAAGTATTTGATATGAATTTCAACTTGATAGCTCTACGCGTTCATGAGGAAAAAAGTAATAAGTTTATATTTATTAAAAAATATATATTTTGTAATGTAACTAAAAATTTAAGGTTTTCGGAATTTTTCCTTTATGTGTGCTATAAAACGTTGCTTCATGCCAAATTTCAAGATTCTAGGTCGACTGGAAGTACCCTTTAGGTTTTGATTCCCTTGCGAGTACTTGCGAGTTTCAAAATATGCAGCTTAAATTGCTGTTGCATAGAAGTTTGATTTTGTTACAGCTTAAAGGTATTATAGACCTGAATATTTGGTATGAATTTCAATTTAATACCTCTACGCGTTTATGAGGAAATGGGTAGTAAGGTTAAAATTATTAAAAAAAAATATATTATGTGATTTAACTAAAAATTTATGGTTTTCGTAATTTTTCCTTTATCTATGCTATAATACGTTGCTTAGTACCAAATTTCAAGATTCTGAGTTCACGGCACCCTGTAGGTTTTGATTCCCTTGCAAGTGTCGAAAATTTGCGGCATAAACGGCTGTATCTTTTGATTGCGTTGGCTTAGAAGTTTGATTTTTTCACAGCTTCAAGGGACAGTAGACCTGAGTAATTGATATAAATTTCAGCTTCATACCTCCACGCGTTCCTGAGAAAAAGGGTCTTGACAGACGGACGGACGGACGGACAGACGGACAACAAAGTGATCCTATAAGGGTTCCGTTTTTCCTTTTGAGGTACGGAACCCTAAAAATGGTTAAGTCAGTCAAATATATTTTAGAATAAAAGGTGTTGTTTTGTTGGACACCGAGACCTCGAGTACGATTTCCACAGCTTCAGAATTGCAAAAGAAATCTTTGTATAGGTAATGCAACAAGAACATTATTCGATGGAAGTATCGATTGACTGTCTAAACAGTATACTTAGCATTCATCATCATCATCAGCCTATTAAGGTCCCCATTTCTGGGTCAGGCCTTCCCTATGGATGGAATAGAGAGATTGGGCCATGATCCACCACGCGGGCCCAGTGCAGTTTAGCGGGTTCTAACGACTTAACGTGCCTTCCGAAGCACTAAGGAACTCTCGATAAAAGATTTTTGGTCTCCCACCCAATGATCGTCCACTGCGAAAGTTGCTTAACTTCAAAGATAGCAGCCGAACGCGCTATCCACCCGCGCCATTGAGCTCTAGCACTATATAAAAAATCGAATTCGGAATCAGTTATTTGATATAGGTTCGTGCCTAAGGGTACAGCTCTATTTCAAATCGAGCTTGGAAGTCCGCATAGAACTTTTACAGTGCTTACAATGTCATCGTTAATTACAGTTATATCTATTTATTTGTCCACTTGACAATTCTGATAGAAACAAACTGTACCCGTAAAGCTGTTATTCAAAAAGACTGAACGGTATGAATGAAACGCAGAAATGCTAAGAATGTAATCACATGCAAATAACTATAGTCCGTTTAGTTGGAGCCGAGGAATGTAGCGACGCCAGATTAATACCGACTTGGATAATTAGGCTAACATATATCGCCGGCCGAGATTACAAATATAACCGCGAAAAATATTCGTTCGCTTCCGACGTTTCATGTGTATTTTAACGATCAAAGGAATTCCACTCGCGCTCCCCTGATATTTTAATTGTGATGATTTAAGCTTTATCCGAGTGACAAAACAAAGCATTCTCGCTTTGCGGCTGAACCCCCCCCCCACACTCCCTTCTCCCGCCTGCCGCGCTGTGGGAACAGTTAACAATACACAGATAAAACAATCAAACAAGAGAGAAAACTCGGTACGAAGTCATTAAGCGAATCTGCCGCTTGCGGAATACTTAAGCGAGCTTCCCGCCTCGATCCCATCTGACGAGGACTTTTCTGGGAGCTCCATCAAACTTGTTAGCGTATTTTCTTTTTGCCACGATGGGAAAATAGTCGCGTAATTATTGCATGTGAAATTGCAGTAGCCGCTGTCTGTCTTGTGAGGCTGTGGCGGTTGCATATCTAGTGTTAAATATGTATTACTCGTAGTCGCCTA